TGATTGATGAAGATTATGCCACCCCCAAGAGGTGGCACGGGCATGAATAGCCCCGTAAGAACAAGACACATACGGCAAAATTTATGTACTCTGCTGACGTGAGTTTTCAAGTGACGTGAGTTTTCAAGTGACGTAGAGTTTTCAAGTGACGTGAATTTTCAAGTGACGTAGAGTTTTCAAGTGACGTAGAGTTTTCAAGTGAGTGAGTTTTCTAGTAACGTGAGTTTTCTAGTACCGTGAATTTGAGAGCCAACGCGAGAAAGCGGCGAGGAAGCTCTATCAGCATTAGCTCTATAGGTTACGAAAAGAGGAACGGGTTGAAATGTGACATACAATACGAGGAACCCCTTCGAAACCGCTCAACATTTTCATCAATTGCCTGTTTTGTTTTTTCCTGAGCATCAGAAGTATACCATCACATACTATTTTCGGAGTAATTTGTCTATTTCACTTATTGGAATTAGTGTTGTGACGAAGCTAGACGTGAGAGGAAGCCCGCGTGAGTGGTGGATGGTAGTCCAGATCAGTTAACTGTGTTCTTGACTGTTTTTAAAGGTTGAATTGAGTGCTTGACCCCATTGCATCGTTCTCGAATGAATTTAAGCATTTAATGACCCGGGTAGTCTCCCGTGAAAGCTGATTCCGGTTGAAGACGCTGAATTCAAGTGGATGCTCCTTGAGTTTGAATTCTATAGTTGCCAGAAAATCGAGTTTTATTTCCCATGGTAAATTTCGTCCATTTAGGTAGCCCTGTGATGTTCTAAATGACCTTGTTTTGTATCGTTTCAAGGCTTTAAACTCTGACAAAGTAATTGCTGTTGAGTCGAATGAAGTCAAAGACAGACGTCAAGATAATTTTTTTTTACCCATAGGGTAAAATAAATGATTTTTATACTTGTTATTTTTACCCATAGGGTCAGTAGGCCGAGGATGCCGCAAGTGCCAAGGTAGACATAATGGGGAGACCTTTGATAACCCGCCGGCCTCCTGTCCCCCCGTCGATGCTGCTGTTGGTGGTGGCTCTCGTGTAAATTCAGGATAATATTAAATCTCTTATGAAAGTCTGAAAGGGAACTTTTAAGTCCAGAAATGTGGTCATTCAATCCAAGGTTGTAGACCTACAACTGGTCATTCAGGAGAGACGAGAAACAGTGTTTTGCTACTGCTACATGATAACATTTTATGTTATGATAACATGACATAAATAGGCTCATGATAACATGAGCTTATTTTTAGTCAAATCTTCAACCGTGTTCAGTGAATTTTGATAATTTTTTTTCACCATTTGCTCAATTATTTTCCAGACTTTACACAAGGAAGTGTTTTAGAGTACATTTTTTTGTTTACCGAACATTTCGTTGCTCTATAGTTATTTTCACCCATGTTGTTGCAAGCGAGGCTTGAGTGTGTTTCAACATATGTTGGGAAATATACGTCTGTGCTCAGGCTATTGGAATTTCTCCTTATTATGCTTCCTTGTTTACCTGAACCTTTGTAAAGTCCGAAATTTTTGAAAGCTGGTAAGCAACATGTTATCAAATGAACAGATCCACAAGGGCCGTGACGAGGATTCGAACCTGCGTCCGGGAGCATCCCAGGGATGTCTGGGATGCTCAGTCGATTAAGGCAGTGTCTGGGATGCTCCCGGTCGCAGGTTCGAATCCTCGTCACGGCCCTTGTGGATTTGTTCATTTGATGCATCACGTTAGTGTGATCTCTGTGTGTAGCAACATGTTATCATTTTGTCTGAATTGTGATATCTATTTGGTCTTTGTTCAAGCTTTCAAAGAGTAGATGAACCTTGTGCCACTGAGCTTTTCATTGCATGATTTTCAGGGCTGTATTGCACCTATATTGTTTTCTCACATTGCTAGAACTTGCATTTGTCTATCATAATTGACACTGAAGATTGTGGTCATGTTTTGCGTTGACTGGTGTCACTTGTGAATTCTCTTGGCTAAGATCTTTGGGTCCCAATAGGATGCTCCTTTCCTTGTTATGGTTGGTAGTGGGTGTACGTTGGTTCGAGCCACAGGCTGTGGTGTCCTGTTGTGGTGCGTGGTGTTACGGTGTTGAGAAGTAGCCCAGAGTGACAGAATGGTGTTGAGAAACAGCCCAGAGTGAGAGAAGTAGTTCTTAAGGTGTTCAGGGGATTATATTAACCTAAGACTGAGAATCTCGGTAACAGGAGACAATAGAGAGTAACGAGGTGTTACTACTGGTGATCCCCCCTGAGATCAATCATGTTTTTGGTAAATGTAAATGATCTTTCAGAAGGAATAGACTTCTTCCTCTTTATGTTTGTCATTGCAACAGTTATGATGCTTACGATGACAGCCTGCAAGACACTACAGGATCACCTGGATAAACAACAAGATGGGCACAGGAAGGAGGACACACACAGCTGGACACTAAACTCAACTCCAGCTTTTCAACAAAATGGTACTGAAAACGGCCTAGTTGGGTTGAAAACGTTTAAACGTTTAAGTAATATTATCACCTCGTCATTATATATATATATATATATATATATATATATATATATATATATATATATATATATATATATATATATATATATATATATATATATATATATTAGTGAATGCAATTCATTAAAGTGTGGAATAACTGCCCAATGGCTGGGGAAAGTTTCTAGTGTAATGTATGTATAATGTACAAATAAACAATTAATTTTCATTCTCATATACAACAATGTATTAATGGCGTTGTGGCTCCCCCATGACGCCCCGTTCCTCGTCTCTCCTTTGTGCTATCTTTATACATTTTGCTGATAACCAGAAAGGGACTGAAGACGGGGAGTGTAAAGTGTTCTTGTTATCGTTACCTGCACTTCCGATACCACTTTAAGGGCTGTTATCTGCTAAGATGGCCCAAGGCACTCGAGGCGATCCAGTGCTTTGTGTGAGCGCGCTCAAGCGCTCGATTGTACTGTGTGTGCGTGTGTGTGTGTGTGTGTGTGTGTGTGTGTGTGTGTGTGTGTGTGTGTGTGTGTGTGTGTGTGTGTGTGTATGTGTATGTGTATCTACACCTGTTAAACGTTTGGTACAACTTGTACATAAAAACAGTTTAATAAATCACTTGTTTCATCAGTCACGTGAACTAATCAAGAGTTATATTGTTACATCTTGGTCCAGTCCGGTTATTCATGTATTTTTCTATGTTATTTTTCTAACGTTTTGTGTAATTATCCTAGTTTAGGTTTTAATTATCCTGTGTCGCTAAATATAATGTATCCTGGTGATGTGTCGCGCTCGGAGCTGATGTGGTGAGCCTAATGTTCTGTTTTCTTTGTTTTTTCAGGTAAGTACGTTCTTCAGCGACGAATTTTCAGACGAGAAGGTAAGTGACGATAATACAGGATGAGGAAGGTAAGTGACGATAAGGGATAGAGAAGAGAGGTGAACTGGAGGAAAGGGAAGACTAATAAATGATGGGAAACATCAGAAATGTGGGAAATTAAAACAAAAATTAAACATGAAAGAAGGAATGGAAGCACAGAGGATGGGAGGAGAAGTAGTATATAAGTTCAAGAGGATTTAGCTCGTGTACACTCCCGCCGTTTACCCGCGCATCATTTTCACAGTTCACTTGGAACTGCACCGATGCACCGATGAACGTGAATTATTTCGGGTCACGATTTTACATTTTATGAGAAAAAGAGAGTGAAGTACTCCCAGATATTCTACTTAGTTGTCTGTGAAAAGATATATGTAATCAAATCTAAAATTTCTTTTTTAAACTTCAGCTTAATATATCGAGGAAATTCCAGGTATCCGTTGTTGAAAGAAATCTGTTCCAGATTTATGGCCCGTTTATTTCTCAGAAGAAAATTCATGCACGAAACTTATGTTAATGGTTCTTGAGGCTAATTATTATATGGTGTTGGATTAAGAGAATCGTGAGTGATTTCCTGTTCTTCTAAGATGGTAAATTAGAGAGAGAGTTGTAACTAGGCACTGAACTGAGGGACACTAAGAATGGGCAGGAACTTGAGTGTGTGTGTGTGTGTGTTGGGGGGGGAGGTTTGTTGTTGGGTTGAGTGTATGAGAGAGTTTGATTTGTTGAGTGTGTGGGGGGGGGGGGGGTGTGGAGAGAATCTGATTGGTGGAGTGGGTGTGTGATAGTTTGAGTTTGTTGACTGGGAAGTGAGTCTGATTGGTTGAGGGAGAGATGTTGGAGTGACAGGTTAAAGGTAGCTTAAGAGCTACATACTCTGAGGTAACACACACTGGTGACAGTAAGGGAAAAGTACTTTCTGGAAGTACACTTTCCAGGGGGAAAGTAGTTTAAGTAGAGTTTGTAGTGCGAGAAGTGTTGCACATGAGGGAGAGCTATGAGAGGGGATGCGTCTAAGAAACTGCAAGTGAGAGGGGAGAGACTATTGAGAGGTGGAATAGAATAGTGTAGAAAGTAGAAGTCATGGAAGGGTAGTGTAAGGGGTGCTGTAAGTGAGGGAAGATAGAAGTGAGAGAGAGAACCGGAACAATTATGGACAAGAGGCAGCAAGAGAAAGGAAGGGAAAGAAGGAATGAAGGAAGGGTGCGTCGGAAGAGGGGAGATTGAAGGAAAGGAGGGGAGAGGGATAATGAAGTAATCACGGACAAGAAGAAGAGGGAAGGAGGGAGGGAGGAATTCCTAGTGAGGGAGAAAGGGGAATGAAGTAGGCCAGGAGATTGAAGAATGAAAGAAGCTTTATGAAAGAAAACAAGTGCTAAGGGTGAAAAGGAAGGTGGGTTAGGGGAGAAAGAAAGGGGTGGGGGGCGCCGGGCAAGGGTGGGAGTGCCAGGGTGAGAGAGAGAGAGAGAGAGAGAGAGAGAGGAGAGAGAGAGAGAGAGAGAGAGAGAGAGAGAGAGAGAGAGAGAGAGAGAGAGAGAGAGGTAGAGGAGGGAGGAGGTACGGTGAGGGAGGGAGAGAGAGAGAGAGAGAGAGAGAGAGCAGCGTGAACGAGGGGTCACGCAACCAGTCTTGCTCTAGCAGCCACGCAGGCTACATGTTTCGCCAGCGCTGTTCGACCCCCGCCGTCAACACACGCTCCCACTCTCACCGGAGGCTTGCTCTCACTCTCACCGTGTCACTCTCACTCTTCGTGCGGCCTCTCTTCCTCGTCTCTGCCTCTCCTCACGCTTCATACGAGCCTTCTTTCACTGACATGGTCCTTGTGAAGCCCAGTGAAAGGACCACGTAATTTGGGGATTTGCGAGTTGCATTTTGCGTCAAAAAAAAATATTTCAAATCCAAAATTTTCTCCCTTGCAAATGTGGTCAGACTGAAGATCTGATGATGTGCTTTTTGTCCCTCTGGCAGGCGTAAGACTGAGTGCTCCCTGGGAATATACCCCTGAAAGTGTCTTAAAAAAAAGCTCTGCAATTTCTGCAGTGCCACCAGTGATAGGCTCCAAAAAAAAAAAAAAGTGATATAGGATCAACATTTTGAGATTTCGAGAGAGGAAACTGAGACCTATGTGACCCAGGTCCAAGTCTGCGGACCGCCTTTACCTCTTGTCTCTTACTGTCCTCTTTCTCTCTTATCTGCTCTATCGCCCCTACCTTCTCTTCTCATTCGAAAAAGTGCTCTTTTTCCGTTCTGAATCACGCGGTCGTGGCGGTCCCATAGTGAGTGCATCTTGCCTTAGCATATTTGGCAAGGCATACACATTCACCCCTCTTGGAAGAACGAGTCTCTTCCTGAATACAATACTAAGGATTACTCAAAGGACTTCACGCTGACGGAGCGACCGAAGAACACCCACAGTACAGGATCATCTGGCCAGACGACCATCAGCATGACAAGCACGCCTCCGCTCAGCAAGTTGAGGCTATCAAGCTTTCTCTCACAAAGCTTGTGAGTACCTTGTGTGTGTCTATAGCGTTATTCAGAGCACCTGAGTGTGTAGTAGTAATGTTGAGCACCATTTAGACGGGGTAGATAGGGACGGTACTGATTTTTTGAGCACCTTCCCTATAACCCAGTGCTCTGTGGCTTGCCTAGAGCACCGTGTAATGTGTACCGTAGCTGCTCCAGAGGGAGAAGTGTATCGTAGCATTGCTAGATAGGGGTACTGTGTCTATTTTTAAGCACCGTGTGATGTGTTCTGTTTGTTCCTTATAGATCATAAATAGAACATTATAGCGTTCTTTTGTCATGGACATGTTCTGTATGTGTGCTAGAGTATCTTGGCAAGTGTTCTGTAGCTCGGTTGAACACCAAGCGAAGTGCTCTATAGATTTTATAAAGCATCAAGGGAACTTAAGTTTCTTGTATAGAACTCCATATAGAGTGTTTGAACTCTCTTAGAGCACCTAATTTACATTATTTTACCTTCTATAAAGCACCATGGAAATTCTTCGTTTCAGCACCTTTGGTATTGCATCTTCTGGCACTCACACCAGGTGTGCCAAAGCACCCTTGCACCTGTGGTGCCAGGTACATCTGTGTGCAGTGTCATCACCAGATATTGCATTTAGCACTGCACTTTCTCATATATTTGTGTCGTTAAGTGTTACAATGTAGTACAACAGCCTACCTGTTGATATGCACCTGTTATGCACCTGTGTGTCTGTTGATATGCACCTGTGTGTCTGTTGATATGCACCTGTGTGTCTGTTGATATGCACCTGTTATGCACCTGTGTGTCTGTTGATATGCACCTGTGTGTCTGTTGTTGCGCCTGTTGGTTCGCTCCGTTACAGCTCTTGGCTGTAACTGTTGAGACGGAGTTACAGTTCTGTAGTGTGGATTGGCATTCATGATTTGTATTAATGCGTCTTGTGAATGTTGGCAGGGGGATTGTGGAATATAGTTGCTGTATTGTGATAATGTATTGATTGTGAGCTGACTGCACGTGTGTGTGTGTGTGTGTGTGTGTGTGTGTGTGTGTGTGTGTGTGTGTGTGTGTGTGTGTGTATTCACCTAATTGAGCTTCGGCTCTTTGGTCCCGCCTCTCAACCGTCAATCAACTGGTGTACAGATTCCTGAGCCTACTGGGTTCTTATCATATCTACATTTGAAACTGTGTATGGAGTCAGTCTCCACCACATCACTGCCTAATGCATTCCATTTACTAACTATTCTTCTGTGTATGTCTGTGTGGTGTTCTGACTGCACGTGCTGTTTTGCTACTAGGTATATATATATATATATATATATATATATATATATATATATATATATATATATTATATATATATATATATATATATATATATATATTGGTGTATACTGGCAGCAGGTTTTCTTTCAAACATGTTTCATTGAATATGACCGCATATTCTGTATTTAATATTTTCTGGTTTAGGGCTTCTATCCCTCTAACTATTTTCTTAGCATCAGGGCTTAATTGGAATAGGAGTTCTCCAAAACTCATTTTCGTACTTTTAAGGTGAAGAAAAGAAGTGATTTACTATAGAGTGTATTACACTTATTTGTGTAATTTGCACGACGTTTCGAACCTCCATGGTTCATTCTCAAGTGAACAATCTTACAATACTAGTTGATTTTATACCCGCATTAGGTCAGGTGATAATACAATGAAGGTGAAAAACATGGGGGGATACATAGTATCCCCCCATGATTTCTATAGTAAATCACTTCTTTTCTTCACCTTAAAAGTATGAAAATGACTTTTGGAGAACTCCTATATATATATATATATATATATATATATATATATATATATATATATATATATATATATATATATATATATATATATATATGTCGTACCTAGTAGCCAGAACGCACTTCTCAGCCTACTATGCAAGGCCCTATTTGCCTAATAAGTCAAGTTTTCATGAATTAATATATTTTCTCTAATTTTTTTCTTATGAAATGATGAAAGCTTCCCATTTCATCGTGTATGAGGTCAATTTTTTTTTATTGGAGTTAAAATTAACGTAGATATGTGACCGAACCTAACCAACCCAACCTAACCTAACCTAACCTATCTTTATAGGTTAGGTTAGGTTAGGTAGCAGAAAAAGTTAGGTTAGGTTAGGTTAGGTAGGTTAGGTTGTCGAAAAAACATTAATTCATAAAAACTTGGCTTGTTAGGCAAATCTGGCCTTGCATAGTAGGCTGAGAAGTGCGTTCTGGCTACTAGGTACGACATATATATATATATATCACAATGGCACTGTGCCTGTATTCTAAGTAGTTTACCTTGTAGTAGAGTGTCATACCTGAATGTAACTGACCAGGTGGAGAAGTTTTGCATTTGTTTATGTTTAACAAATATATATTATTACGAGTGGCTGTAGTCTGTGTCTTTGTGACATGTTTGTTGTTGTCATTGATGTGGTTAGTTGATGTGGGGT